CTAAAAAAGGCTTCCAGGGGTGATATTTCAAATCAAAGTTTTAAATACAAAAGGTGTCTTATATTGCTTAATCATCCCAAGCTTCCGATGCTCTTTATTCTACAGTTACAGATTTGGCTAGATTCTGTGGGAAATCAACATCATAGCCTCTCAACACAGCAAGGTGGAAAACCAGCAACTGTAAGCGGGATCACACTGAGAATGCCTTGCAAGCAGTCTACTGAGTGGGCACCTTGATCGTCCTCTTTGTGTTCTTAATGGTCTCAGTATCCTCCTTATCACAAATTACAACAGGGCGACCCTGCCGGGAGACCACCTGCTGATTCAGTTTAAAGTATCCTTTTTCTGCTTTTAGATTGTTACATCTTAAAATTTGACTGGCTGCCAATAGAATAGTATTAACCTAAAAGAGCAAGTTAACCCTATAATCGCAGTATAAAACAATGGACAAGAAGTGTTACCAAAACTAGTTTTCACTAACAGCTGACTGTCGCAGAGCAGAAGTGTGAGCAACTCCTAGGCTGGAGCAAAAGAAGCCAAACAATGTAAGACAGACTTATGAAGACCAAACCGAAAGAAGCAGACATTAACAGGAAAAGAAAGACACAGAAGCAAAGAAAAGGAAACCAAGGACAAACTATTTCCACAAATTCTAATAAATTACACAATTGTTGGTGTCCTACTCTAGCACCACCAACACACAGTAAATCTTTAAGCATATGTGCAAAAAGCATGCAACTCTTGCCAGCTCCCATTTTTAATATTTTTTCTTTTTGTTGTAATCTCCTTTTTAGTGGGAGTTTTGAGAGCAGTATTTAAGAGTGCCCAATAGGAGAATAAGCTCTCCGGAAACCTATCAGGATCGGAGATCAAGGCCTTCTGCAGCTGTTTACCTACTCTTCCCCAGACCTCTAGATTTATCTCAGCCTCGTCACACAACCATGGACAAACCTCATCCAATATTTTCACAAATGCTTCCAATTGAGCCTTCTTAATTTTAACTCCTTGTACTTTTAGCAACTTTTGTATAGAGTTCCCTACATAACCTCTAGATTCCATTTGACCCATACTTTAAGAATTTGAGGGCTTACACCCTTGGTTACTACTGCCGTGATCAGGACTAACGTCCCCTTTCTCTCACCGGCGGCCCTTACTTCTACTGCTGTGATCAGGACTAACGCGTCCCCTGTCTCTCACCAGCAGCCCGTTCCTTTTTTACAGCCGTGATCAGGACTATCGCCCCCTGTCTCTCATCGGCAGCACCCTCTTCTACAACATTTCCCTCTACTGCTGTGATCCGGACTATCCTCCCCTGTCACTCACTGGCAGGAGCCGCGGGGATCAGTCGCAGTTCTTGTTGTAGTGCCCTGGATTGCAGGGCGCTCTCCTCGATGTCCTTCTTACTCAGGTCCCTGTTCGGGAGCCACTTGTCTCGAGCCGCAACGTCAGAATCCTGCCAGCAGGTCCCAAACCCAAGGGAAGAACAACAGGAGAGCAGTTTCACGAACTTAGTTCCACGCTCATGCTCTACCGCAGCAAGGCCCCCTTTATTTTTCAGGGTGGGGTATATATAGGCTAAAACCGAAACCAAAAGTATAAATAGGATGTGGCTGACTGCAAAGGTCACAAAGTTCTACAAAACAAGTATTATGGGTTACATTTGCTAGGCAACAGGTCAGACCACCAGTTGAACTAGCCTGTTGCTATGGGTGACAGCACGTCCGTGCCGGTGAGGTGACTCAAAGTTCAATCATGGCTGTGCCTATGTCAAGGCTCACCATAAAGGCTCACCATAGCTTCCCCAAGGACCAATGACGTCACTGACTGGCTGTCAACGCATTTCCCATCATGCCACTTCCTGGGCCTGTGCGTATTTGCTGCTAGGTGCCTCAGGAGCATTTAGTCCTCACCACACTCTGTAGTGGAGAGCACTGCAGCGTCTGCTCCACACAGAGGAGGGAACCAGACTTGCTGAGAGAAGGCCCAGGGTGCCCAGCAGATTGGAGCCTGGCTCCTCTGTGCCTCTGGGCTGTTCATTTGCTAAGCAATGAAGTCAGCAGAGACTGTGAGCTGGAGTCTATCTGCCGAGTGACCGTGTGTGCTTTTCAGTCTGTGCTGCAGCCAGGTTGGCATGTGGGTGCTCTGCTGCCAGAGCAGTCATTGGGGATGATGCATGATGCTATCCGGTGCTGCTTCTGAGAGTTCTTTGGCTCTGGAGACAAATGGCTGGAGGGTTGGTTTGGTACCGATTTCAAAGAAACACTTGATGTGTACAATGCTGTGACAAGGAGACATCACTGGTTGATAAATCAAAGTTATTAACGTGCAGAAGACACCCAATCTATAATGTATCCCGTTTTTACCATGCTTATATTTATAACTGTGTTAGGGCTGTGCAATGTTTCCCAAATGTGGCCTTATTCTCAGGACTCTTTGCATCAGCTCCAGTTCTCTTCCACACCAATCCTTTTCATCCCTTGGGCAGATTTGCTGCTGTGGTCAGTGAGGGAAATGCATTCATTCCTGTGCACTGCGATGACAGCGGCTGAGGGCTAGACAACTAATGATGCTCCTCAAGTGTGGCTTGCGTTAATTCCTTCTGAGGTATCTAATAAAAATCTAATAAAAGTCTAAGGAGTAAACGTCAGCCAAGGAGGCAGTGTGGGAGCAAGAGACATGTCCACGAGGAGGAGAAAGTTGGCGTGAATTACAGGACACAGCACTGTAATCTATGTGGTTGTCAAAGAACTGTGTAGTCTGTGTTTACTGTCATTAGAAGTGCACAACTCATTGTTATTGGTGAAAGCTCCTTGCGCACTGGTTTGTGTTGTGCGTGCTCTTTGGGGGGCATCACTTTCCTCTGTGTTCTTCCTTGCCTCCCTTTCCCTTTCTCCTCTTCATTCCCTCTCTCTTGTGTGCTTCTCGGTTCCTCTCCTTTCCTCTCTTGTATCTCTTTCTCTTTCTCCACAGGTCTAGAACCACAGACAAAAGATCCCACACATGCACGCTCTGCACGTAAATCTGTGCTTTGCAACACAGTCATGCTCATTCACTGGGACAAAATACCAACACCTTCAACTTAACTGAGGAGAGGTTTATTTGGTGCGTGGTTTCAGAAGTTTTGGTACATCGTCAGGTGGCTCCAAGGCAGGAGAATCACGGTAGAAGGGCCAGGAAGAAGATAGCTGCTCGCCTCATGGCAGCCAGGAAGCAAAGAAGGGAGGAGCCCGGGATAAGAATCCACCACTCCAGGCCACTTCTTCTGCACAGACCCCGCCTCCCCACAGCCCACGAGCTCACTGATGGCTCAAGATCAGTACAGCGCCCCTTGATCCAACCTGCACTTCTGATCACATGATCTTTTTGGAGACATTCTAGATCTAAATGTCAGCACACTGGATTGTGGCATTATTCATCATTTTCTCTTTCCTTTATGCATTTTAACATCATTTGAGCTTTTGTGAATACATTCCTTTCAAGATAGTTAAAAGGAAAAGCTCATTTCCATTTTGTAAACTGACCACTACCTGCCCGACATGCCAGCCATGGTGGACGGTCTCTCCGGGGAGAGGAGAACCTATCTATTCCCTCTGAGTCCAAATCTGCATGTCCTCTGCAGGGCAATGGTCAGCATGGACAGGCTGGGCTCCCGGAGAGGCTGCAGGACTTCTCAGCCTGCCTTCCACTGCTCTGGTGCCCGTGCGATGAATATTCCCTTAGAGGGGCACAGTTCGGAACGGAATGTTCTCTCCCGATAGCGGAGCTCATCCTGGGTGGGGGCTTTCATTACGTGGGAGCCTGCTGAGCTCACTGGTGGGTCAGTGGGGTTAAAGCTACAGAAATATGATTTGGGAATCATCTGAGCTCAGCTTTGTAGGAAAGATAAACAGGATTATCAAAGCTTTTGACAACATAATTTAAATGCCCCACAAGGCGGTGGGGAGAGGGCCAGGGATGGCTGATCTAATCAAAAGCAACCCTGCAAACAGCAGTAACCCTGCCACAGTGAAATGGGAACCACGGCGCCTGGCCCCGCAGTTACACCTGCAGATCTGCGTTGCTTTGACTTTGGAGTTGTTCGGGGCTGCCTTTTCTGGCTCCTCCACTCCGTTCCATACCTCGAATTGTAAGTGGTGCCATGAGTGTCACTCCCAGATGCTCTGTTTGTCTCCACACCGGGGCAGATGGAACCAGCTCTGGGTCTCCGTGAGAGGACAGGGCCCATGCATCTCGCCATCCTCCTCTGGGGCTTCGGTGGGGATTCACTGCTGCCCCTGTGGCCAAGCGATTCCCAACCTTGGCCCACCGCTGTGTGCTCCATGTGACCACATGTCTGCCACCAGAGCCTCCTGGGTCCAAGGAGACCCGAGGCCCACGCCAGGGGGAATTAGGACGCACCAACAGCTCGGTGTGAGGGACATGCAAACTCCTTCACCAGCCCACATACTTCATGGCAGGTCCCACACAGCATCCGTAGCCGTCAAGGATCTGGGAATTCCTGGCTCTGGTTTGCTTCCTCGGAGCCCGTGGGTTTCTGGTTTTACGAGGGTTTTATTTTTGCATAGGTTGACTCCCTTTCTGGTCATTTCACATAGCTGCAAAAATCCACTTCCCACATACATCACCGCTGAAAGGAATCAAGCAAGAAAACATGGCAGCAGAAGTCAGAGATTTCCTCAGAAGTCCATTTAGTGAGCCAGTGTGAGCAGGAACCAGATGCCAGGAGGCTGGAGTTGCCCGCAGACAGCTGTTAGCAAGTCCTCAGGAATATCTGGGGGTGGAGTAGGTAAGGAAGAGGGTGTGGAAAAGTGGAGGGCAGAGGGCCTGCTGGGGTGTGGCCCCCATGACCCCCTAAACTTCCTGCTCTCACTCAGAGGCAGGGCTTATGCAGTGTGATTGGACAACCGGGCTCTGGGGCTGATTCGCTGTTGGGAGGCGGGGCGTGGAGGGCGTGACCCAGAAGGCTCCTCCCTTTTCTCTTTACTTCCTGCTCTCTATGAGGTGAGCAGCACCAGGCCCTTCCACTGTGACTTCCTGCCACCAAGCCCATCGACATCGGGCTGAAAATGTGACCTGAAATAGACCTGTAAGCTTTGAGTGTCAGGCACTGTGTCTTGGCAATGAAAGAGCAACTAAGATGGGGTCCCAGCAAACCTCCTGCCCCTGTGGTTTTAAACTACACCCAGGCAAGCAAAACTCAGTATGCATCTGATTTATTCTATATCAGGTGTTGGTGGAGATGAACAGGAGACACTGGAAAGTCCGACCACTGTGTCTTGGGCTGATTTTCCAGGTGTTCAGGACCAGGCTCCAGTGGAGATGCAGGCCTGAAGTAAAAGAAACCCCAGCTGCTCAGGACTTGGTGAGCACTCATTTGCGGTTGTGGTGTCTTTACGCGCTGCTAAACTGAGCAGGGTTTTGTTGACGGCCTGGTGCTGTTAAGGAAAGCCTGGAGCGCATGAACATACGGCAGACCAGGCACCGCTGGGGTCCCGACTGTGGGCAGGCAGCCGCAGCCCGTTACACACTTCATTTACACCAGGAGACTGAGGGCCTCTGAGGTGGTGTTGACCGTGTTCTAAAAGATCTGGAGCGTGAACACACCTTTGGGGGAAAGCAAATGGTATAAAAATGAGAGGGGAGAAAGGAGGAGGAAAGGGAAATTCTCGCACCATCCTGAACTTCAGCTTCTGTCTGTCAATGCAAAAGAAACCGACGTGTCCTCCCTACCTTAGATAGGCCGTGTGCAGAACCAAGGCACCCATTTTCTTTTTCCTGAGAGGGCAAGGCCCTCTCTCTCTAAAAGTCTTTGTCTTTCTGTGGATTGTCAGCAGCTGCACACTGACGCCTGGAGGAGTGGTCTGTGCTGTGGGATTTGGGCGTAAAATCTTCATGCTGGGTGGTGGTGCAAGATGTTCCATGTTCTTCATCTTACTCTGTTCCTCCTTTGCCCTGCAGGGTGGACAGCCTTGTGACCATTTCACGAATGATAATGTTGAGGATCCAAAGGGATGAAGGGTCAGGGTCTACACTGGTCAGTAGCAGATCCTTGATTCGGATCCGTGCACGCGGCCGTGCTTTATAGAGATTCTTCGTGGAGTCAGCGATGGCTTCCAGATTCCACCCCGTGACTCTGTGATCTGCTTTCAGTCTGTGTGCACTGTGAAGTAAAACAATGATGTTGGATCGATGAACAACAGAAGAGTTGGGCAGATCTGTAGGTAGTATTCCAACCTAAGACAGGGTGGATTCCGTTTAGGAAACAGAGTTAGGTGTTCCGGGTAAGGGTCCATAGTGTGTGTGTGTGTGTGTGTGTGTGTGTGTGTGTGGGTGTGTGGGTGTGTGTGTGTGTGCATGTGAAGTAGTTGACAAGAAAGATATTAAGCGCCACTGCTCCTCCAGGTGGCTTGATTTGACCTGTGAACCATGGGAGTGGAGAGGCGCTGTTCCCTTTGCTCTCTGCAGACCCTGGTGCCGGCAGGCTGTGCCCCTCTTTGCTCCTCTCTGTCTTTTTGGCATTTGCAAGCAGGCCCAGGCTGAAGCTGCGCTTGCAAAGAGCAGGAAGTCCCCACAGCCGCTGCCGTGACGAAGGCCTTGATCGCACCCTTAGATCTCTGCTGAAGCCTTAATGTACAGGGAATTTGGTTACAGGGAAGAGGAGGCGGTAATTGTTGTAGTATGTTTTCTTAAACTGCATAATTAGTTTTGAAATGCTTCCCTTTAATCCGCTGATGGGCCCGAGAGTGGGAGAATATTGTCTCCTGGTGCAGAAAAACCCCAGCCCCTGAAGTGCTGCATCGTGAACTACAATCTGCCATTTTTCAAAAAAGGGGAAGGTGACTTGTGTCCTAGAGGAAGATTTAAAAAATCGCTTTTCCCAGCCACTATGGTCCTGGTCCTTGATCACGGCCGTCGAAATGGTTCAGCCCCAGGGACTCCGGATTTAAACCAGAACTCAGCAGCTGAGAGCTCTCGGTGACTGAGAGCCAGGCCTGCTTGTCACTGGTCTTCGCGTCACCCTCACATCCCCCAAAGTCACGGACTCTGGAAGGATGTGGCTGGGGTGAGATGAGGTGAGGCCTCAGAGCTCACTCCTGCCTCTGTCCTTGCCCTGTCCTGTCAGCTGATCCAAGCCCAGCCCATCCTGTGAGCGACCTGCTTGACTTTCAGTGCAGGCCTCGAGCAAGCATGGCCTCCCTGGCCTCTTTGGGGCACTCCACGGTTTGTTGGTGAGGGGACTCAGCTTTGGGGTGAGGGGATGCCCCCGAAGGCCCAGTCCATCAGTCAGCAACCTGGCCAACCAGGGCGGGCCTGCCTGGCTCCTGCCTTTCCCTCCCCAGCAGGTGGTGAGTGGGTCATAGGCTGTCCGGGAGGGAAGACCCACCCTGGTACGGTGGCCCTGACCCACGGTAACACAATCCAGCAGGCGGAACAGGAGGGGCAACTGTGCTGGGGACCCCCAGATCCAGGGGAGTCCTGGGGGCAGTGAGCACAGAGTTTAAGGAGGCCACGAATCTACACTCACTCCTCCCCTCAGAGCAGTCCCTTCCACACCGCTGCTTTTCCTTTTGCCTTCTGACATGCTGAGCTCTGACTGAGTGCTACCGAACACCATGAACTGTACTGTAAGTGCACCGCAGAACTGTGACAATGTCCAGCGCTACCAATGTTCACAATGAAAAGTCTGTTTGTATCTCTGAAAGTCTGTGAGTCAAATGTTCCTAAGTTGGGGACTTGCTGTGATAACCATCTTCCACCTACAGGGGTGTGTTAGTTCCTGCTTTCTCTCATTGCTGAGCCCAAACACCCGACACCCAAAGGTAGACAGAAGGGATTTATTTGGCTTACGGTTCGTAGAGGTTCAGTCCATAGGTGGCTGACTGCAAGGCAGGGAATTAAATGCCTGGGAGAGGAGAAACAGCATGGCACCCATGGGGTGGCAAAGGCAATAAGGGCGCTTCTCCAAGTCTTTCTGTCTCGTATCCTGTCCAGGCTTCCGGGATTAGGGTGGTGCTAAGCCACTAACTCACACGCCCTTCACCCAGCATCACATACTCCAGATTCAGCCACCTCTGAAAAAGAAAGTCCCACCTCATCGCACGAGGCTTTGGCGGGCAGCTAGGCACGAGCCATAATGTTTCACTCCAGTCCCCCAAAGATGCATGCACACCCCTTTATGCAAAATGCATTAAGTCCATCTCCAAGAGTTTCCAAAGTCCTAACAGGTTCAGCATTGCCGAAAAGTCCAAGTCCCAAGTCTCCTCCGAGAGTTAAGGCAATCTTAGCTGTGAGCTCCTGTACAAATGAAAAAGAGGTTAAACACCTCCAGCATACAGTGGCACATGGTAAAGATTACTAACAGAAATGTAAGTTTTAAGGATGAAATGTACCGGTATATGAGGTATAGAGTACAAATTTTACTTCAGTGATCCCAGCATCCTGGGAGGCTGAGGCAGGAGAAGTGAAAATTCAAGCCTGACAGAATATCAACTCAGACCTTGTCTCAAAGTAAAAAATTTTAAAAGGTAGAGTTGTAGCTCAGTGTGGTTTGATGCCCTGGGTTCAGTGCCCAGTACCACGGGGGAGGGGGGAACCAGCCTCTTAAAGATTTTCTTGTGTTCTTGCCAAAACCTTTGTAAAAAAGATACCATTTTAGTGAAACCATTGGAAGGTCTTGGAATTTCCCATGAGAATCAATGCACATTCCTATCCTTGGCAGCACAATTCATGTCCTTCTGCGTGGAGTCCCTGTGTCCATCTTCCCATGGGGTGTCCCCTGTGGGGAGGACCTTCTCCTCCTTATTCCTCAGTGAAATTCCCTCCTGCCACAGTTGGAAAAACACCGAGCTAATGATATTACATTAACAGTGCTCTCTCTGTTTTCCACCCTCTTCAAGTCTTAGCCTTTTGAATCACCCCAGCCATGAAGTAAAACATTTTTGTTTGTAAACATCAAAGGCTCTTTTTTTTTTTAAAAAAAAAATTTATACCACTCACATACCATAAATCTTTTTAGTACCTCTAGTTCAGAGTCCATCAGTCAGCCCAAGAGGGCCTGTCACATCACAGCCCATAGCAAGGGTCTGATCTGGGACTCTGGAGAAGGTGGCAGGATATCTGTCACCATAAATAGCCATTTATCAAAAGAACATAAATTAAAAACAGAAGCCCTGCCTGCCTCATAACTGTGTGACTCATTTAGGACGGGAAGCTATCTCCGTGATAGGATGTTTTCTTCTTCAGGCTAAAATACTGAGAGCCACATTTTAAAAGAGAATTTGGTTCACGGGGATGCTTAAAATGTGAAAATAACTGGGGGTGGTTATAGGTGTCTTTCTGAAGCCCCACACTGAGTTTTACTTGCCATCAGATGTGAATGAGGGGACTGTTTTGCTCGGGATCCTGACTTTGCTTCTTATAAATCCCCAGAGCCTGAAGCAGGTGCTGAGTGGGCCCGGCCGTCTGGGCTTCCATCTGCCCGCCTGCAGTCCCCTGCCAGAGGGCTGCATCTCATCTCAGGAGGAGGAGGCTGCCATTCACTTCCCGGGCTGTGTCCCCGCTGTGCCTGGTCTGAACCCCATATCAGGTCTTTTGGGGGGGTGTAGGCATCACTGCAGGGGGCAGGACAGTGGGAAGAGGTGAGCAGTGTGTAAGGGGGCCAGTGAGGGGCGTGTGCTTCTGTGTTCACGTGTCTGCGTGTGCTTGTGTGTTCTGCCAGCACCTGTGGTTACACAGACGAGGGTTCTCTCTGGTGGACGCTGGCTCACCCAGAGCAGCACCATTACGAATGGGTCTTTGCGTTCAGAGGACAAACCGAGCGGTGTCCATGTAGATTTCTGTGGCGGTCTGGAGCTCTGCCATGAGCCTTTGTGGTCCGATTGCTCTTCATTCCAGTTCCGCACCCTGTGTCTGTTCCTATTTTTCTTTGTCCTCCGGAACATAAGGGCACAAATGCCCCTGGCGTGGCCACGCTGTGGGTGCCACAGGCTGGCTCAGGTCTGGGGATCCAAGACCTCAGCTTCCTCACTCCCGAGGTGGCAGTGACCGTGGCACCTATCTCACAGCGAACCCTAACAGCAAACTGAGAGCCCTGGAAACCCCATGTGTCCTATGAGGGACAGGTATGTGGCCCTGTTCCCTTCCACGGCATGCAGCAGTCCCTGTGGGAACGTGCTGTGCCGCCATCCAGGTGCTGTGGAGTGGGCAGAAGGTCGAGGAACGCCATGTCAGATGCTGCGTGTGCACACACAGGCACCCTGGAACCGGCCTGACTCTAGAGCACATGTGCACACAGCCCGCCTGGCTCTCCTGCCAGCCTTGTCCCTCCATGGGCCGAACTCTCCTGAGAGCAGAGTCCACTGCTCTGCTCTGCACACAAGGGTGGGTTGCTGCCCATGGAACACCGTGTCCAGCAGGGATGTTGGGGCCCACACCATGGGCTGGCCACGTCCTAGGCCCGTCCAGCAGAACTCTCCAGGTATTCCAGAGACAGGCAGCCCTGGGGCCCTGTGCTCTGAGGATGTCTAGACGCCAGCCCAGCAAGTTTACATCTGTTTACACTGAACGTTTGTCCCTGCAGCTATTCTGTCAGTTTTCCCAGAATACAATACGACTGTCGTGTGGCAAGACCTTGCTTTTCCTGACCCGATAAGATAAGCGCTGTTGATTGGAAATTCCCTCCCTCTCTCTGCCTCCCGCCCTTTCTTCTTTCCTGCTCTCTTTAATGTGCAGAGTCCGACCCAGGGCCCTGCACCTGATATGCACCTGCTCAACCACCCAGCCCTGCTCCCACCAAGGCAGATGTTCCTCTCAGCGACCCAGGCCCAGGCGTGGCCCTGTTCTTAAACAAGACAGGTCCATGATCAAAAATTCTCAAGTCTGAATATCTTAGGATTTCTTTCTTTTTGGTTCAGCAACAATATCACAAATTTTATCACAAATAATCTTTATTATTACTTTGGAATTCTTAAAGAATGCAGGCAAATTGTGGCCAAAACTCTACATATGTGTGTGTTTGGGTACACATTAAGCTACACAGTAAATAATCTTGTGTAGACTAGGTAAATTGTATATAATTAAAGTAGTAATAAATGAAAAGTAAATTTTAAAGTGTACCTTTTGTTTACAAAACTGATTAACAGGAGACCAGGTGAGAAAAGACAAATTAAATTTAGAATATGCCTGGTGTTATCTCTACCCCTTCTTAGCTCCATACTGTGGGACTGGCCCTGAGCAAGAGGATTCCTGTCCAAACCGCATTCAGACAACGCCCATCACACTGAGTCTGCCCAGCTGCTGGGCTCCCTGTTCGGCCCAAAGCAGTGTAGATACCGTTACCCCAGGGAGGGGAAGGTTAACTGCAACATGCACACCCACCTGAAACACATCTGTCAGAGTTCTTAGGACAGAGACACATGCATGGCTTTACACATTTAACACACATCCCCCACACATGTGCACACACACATGCACAGGTATGCTCAGAGAGAGAGAGAGAGAGAGAGAGCTTCACCCTCGTGTAACTCTCAGGTGTGCGCACCCCAGGGAGGCCGCGTCCTGTGACAGCCGAGGTGCCCGGCCCTGGTCAGCAATGAGGCCAAGCTGTCTCCTGTGGGGACAGCGCACACCCTGGAGCCCCAGGCTGAGGGTGCATCAGATAGGGCATCTCCATCCCACCCACTCCTGCCCAGGGGCTGTGCGATTTCAGCTATGATCAAAGCATGGTGGACATTTAATTAAAGAACATTTATAACAATAAGACACTTTGCCATGAACTCCCTCAAGCTACCCCCTCACTTTTGAACACTCTTCCCATCGCTCTCCTACTTCCTGCAGCAGCTCTGGAGTCCTCTTTCCTAAGTGTTTTTAGGAGGTGTGATCAAAAAATGCAGTGATTACTGCCACAGAGCGCCATCCAGCGGAAAGGCAGCTCATAAAGCACGTGCTGTGTCCTCAACCGCCTTGTTCTCTGGCTCTGGTACCGTGTGACCTCTGGCTCCTCCCTAAACTCACAGTGACCAGGAAAGGGAAATGTTTCGAGTCAGTCCAGGATATCGAGGCAGCTAGGATAGCTTAACGGAAGACACTCAGGAGGGAGGACTGCAGAGCTGCTGCAGGAAGTGGCAGGATGAGGGAGGAGTGTACCCTCAGGCTGTGCTCTGAGGGGTTCGTAGCTCTGTGTCTTTCCTGCAATACATTTTTCTGACTTAAAATCCATGCGCTCTCCAATCATGTCACGCATGCCTCCTTACCTGACTTTGGGCAATCTGCAGCCAGGAGAGTGTTTGTAAATGCTCCGGACAGGACGGACAGCACTACCCCTCTGGGAGCGGCTCCTTGCTGAGTCCCTCTCCCATGAGCACCAGGCCCACCAGGACTCGGTCTACTCTGGCAGCTGCAGCAGAAGATTGTCTCTGCCATGTGCTCCCCAGGACCGCCTCTTCCAACCGAGCCCCGCCCCTCCAACAGCTCCGCCCCAACTAAGCCCCACCTCCTATCAGCCGGTCAGCTGTGAGGTGCCTCCCCCCCCCCGTGCTGATCCAGTTGCTGTCGAAAGGCCCCACCTGTGAGTGTGTGAAACGCTGGAGGACAGATTAAATCTAAACCATAATATCGTGTTTATGATCATATTCCATTAATTTCTTTTTTTCTTTTTGGTACCGGGGATCGAACTCGGGTCCTTGCGCTTTCGAGGCAGGCGGCAGAACCCCTGAGCTAAATCCCCGGTCCTATATTCCATTAATATTTGAAGAAAGGCTCCTGTGACTCCTTGACAGGTATTAAACAATACTTAGAGTGAGGTGTGTGCTTTTAGTTTCTGTAAATCTCTCTCCTCAGCTGGATTGGCCCCATGCTTGTGGGACGCCCCTCTCTTAGTGACCACTTCTCTGGGATGCCAGGGCTGAAACTTCTGGTACACAGCAGGAGCATAATAAATGTCTCTTGATGGGGGCGAGATATTTTGATTTAGTTCATTTTAAAAACAGCAAATCCACTCAATATCCATGATTCTACGGTCAAGGAGACAACGTGCTGTGCCTGGAGGCTCTGGGTCTGCACCAGTGGGGCTCACACTCTGATGATGACCGGAGCTGCCAGGAAGCCAGGAGCATCACTCCCACACTGTCTGATCCCCCCCAGGGGTGCAGGGGACCTGGTGTTGTGCAGAGGAATGGAAAACTATGGATCCAGGGACTCTCTACGAGAGGCAGAGCTGTTGGAGATGTCTTCTGGAAGGCAAGCTGAGTCTGGCTGTACCTCCCGCTGAGGATCACTGGACCAAAGCCACACTGTGGATCAGCTGGGAATGGTGGCTGCGCGAATCCCCAGAGAAGCCCTGCTGGCCCCCGACAGCCGCAGATCCCAGGCCCTGTGCCATCCACATTGTTCTGCCTCGCCCATGCTCTGACACTCGGAGGACAGAACTGGAGGAGGAGGAATCTCAGCATTTGCCCTGCTCTGTCTGCATGAGGCCAGAGAGCAACCTGACCAGAGTTGACAAGCGGGAAGACAGGTGGCAAGTGACACCCTGCTCCTGTTGTGTGAGTTTCAGAGCAGAGGACAGCAGGGCCTGGTATGGCAAGCGATCCTGGAGCTGTAGGGATAGCAGGGTGAGGAGCTGAGCAGGAGAGGGTGGCACAGCAGGGACAGCTTGAAAGGAAGCTGAAGTCTCTGCTGAGCAGGGGGCCTAGGAGGGCGCCCCCCTGCCGGGCAGTTGATGACTAGTCCACAGCCTCAAGCTGGGCCTGTCACTAACTAATCCAGGAGGCCTCAGCCCTTCTAAAGCAAATGAAGGGGCCCTTCCACCACAACCCAAGGGGAAGGATTAGAAGGGGAGTTCAAAGCTGCAGAATGCTCTTGCCTGCTTTCTTTTTCCTCCCCACCCTTTATTTTTTTTAAAGGGGCCAGAAATATGGTTGGTTATTATCTCAAGTTATTGCTACAAAGAATTTCGAAATTAAAAGATAAGCGTGCCGAGGAAGCTCAGTAATTTTCATAAAAGGGGACTTAAAACAGATGTGCCCTCTTTAATCGAGGCATGCTTGAAAAAATAGGAATGCATTTTTAACATAGCAGGGGGACACATCACAGTGCTGTGCTTGTCTGCGTGTGTGGCTGGGCGTGACTGTCCACAGGCAGGGACAGAGAGGACGCCTGTGTCAGTCGCTGTCAGGCGCCGCTGAGGGCTTTCATCTACTGGCCCTGGAGGAGCCAGTGACCACCAGGTCCACCGGTGCTGTTGCTAATGAGATCATTTAATTTTTGAATCTGTTGAACACGCAGCAGTTTGACTGCACCTGTAAGGAACCCCGAGATTTTATTTGCCAACAACTTGCCCCTCGTTGCTCTGTGGCAGGTGAGTTTCCAGAGACAGCACAAGTCCAGGTCACCTTCAATCGTGTTGCTGTTGAATGTAGACTGCTGGAACATTAGCCTTGGCCCTGCGCTCTCATGCATTCATGCATCTGGTCTGGGGGCACCTCCAGCCGGAGCTGGGTACACCTGCCACTCACACTCAGGGCACGCAGGAAACGGGAGTCTGAAGGGGAAGCTCGAGGGGTTCTGAGATGCCCCAGACCCTTCTCCCATGTCCTGAGCCATGCTGAGGGCTTCCCCAGGATTGCTGTTGCTGTGTTAAATGCTTCTTTCCATTTTCCACAAGGAAGATGGAGGTTTTCGGCAGAGGTTCTGGGAATCGAGCCCAGGACCTCTGGCATGCACTCTACCATGGGCCATCCTTTCCCACAGAAAGAGTTGAATACTTGTCACCTGAGCCTCTGCCCCAGTAGGCAGTAAGTAAATGTCTCCTGGCTTTGCCTGGCTGAATACTTTTATAATTTTCTCATTTTCTCTGTTAACGTAGAAAATTGGGCCCGGAACCATCTTGGTTACAGCCGTGGGTCTGGAGACATGCCCCAACCTCCCATTTTTATCTGAAGAGGCAGTGACAGTCAAATTTGCTCAATCCTGCTCAGGAGGTTCGAGCATTGTTTTATGCTAGTTTTACATGTTTGAATTTATTACTTGGACATCTGATATTTTTATTTCTGGTCCCGTATTTTAACAAGTAAGGAGTGCAGGCAAGTTCAAAGTCTCAAGAGGCTTTAGTTAGTGACCCACAGTTCCTGCCTGCGAACCCCATGCTCCGGGGGTCCAGGTCTCCCTGAGGGGTCATCTGCTTCCACACTTGGAGGTCTGTCTGCATGCACGTCCTTAAAGATGTTCTCCAATAGGAGTGCACACAGGTGACAGCACACGTTTCTTTGCCCTTATTTTGCCCCATAAGTGTTTTATGGAGCCATACTGTGAGATTTTCAACTTTAGGACTTGTTTTGCACCTCTTAAATGTTCCAGAGATCACTGCTCAGCGTTAACATCTGAACGCTTTGTGGCCGAGAGCCTGGCAGCTACCTGCCCTGGCCAGGGCTTCCACTTGCACCCAGGCTCTCCGCAGGGTGTGGCTGTGAACTCAGCTCTGCCTAGCTGCTGTGTGCTCCAGGCCTTCTGGAGCCCTTGCCTTCCATGGGGTACTGAGCGTCCCCCAGCTTCAACCCCTCCCCTGGGCTCCTGGGCGTTTTTACACTTGACCCTTGCTGTTGAATGTGTTTTTGTCTCTTCCATTTCTTTAATTTCTACAGCGTAATAGTGAAGGAGAACGCTGCATTTCTGCGGGTGTCATAGCGACTCCCCCGGGGAGCAATCATGCTGCGCCCGAGGCTTAGAGCCTCACAGCGAGGGGCTGGGAGCACCCAAGAGGAGGGACTGACATGGGAGAGATGGAGCCATGCGTGTTGGTGACACTGGACCCGGACTCCGTCCTGGCGACCCGACCTGGGACTCTCAAAGGTGATTCAGAGATTCACCTGGTACCCTTCGTCGGTCTGCAGATTTTAGTTCTCCCTTCTGAAAGGAGCTGTGTGGCTCGGCTCTTCCTCATGTACGTACAGGCTCAGGTCCCGCTCTGTCCCTTTCCCTGTGGCTTCTCCTCCGGGAGGAGGACGGGCCGAGCCTGTGACACTGCCACTCGACCACTGTCATCCACGAAGCGAGTCGCCTGGCAGTGAGCACCCCGGGCCGGCTGGGGGCAAATGCAGCCCAGGGCAGGGGCACTGGCGTCTACTACATGGGACTGCAAACCGACCCCGGTTGGTGGAGCCTCCCCCTGAGCCCACACAATGGCTCTATGCCATGCTGTGAGGACGCTGGTGGCCGGGAGGGGAAGAGGGAACTAGGGAGCCACACCGGCACACGTCTGCAGAAGCCCAATGTCACCAGACGTCACGAGGATGGGCAGCAGGAAGCCTCCCAGCCGGTGCTGTGGGTGAGCAGAGCAGCACAGCTACTTTGGAAGGCATCCTGAAGGCTTCTCACGAAGCTAAATGGGTTCTTACCATTCCATAATTGTGCTCCCTGGCCTCTACCCACAGGACTTAAAAACTTCTGCCCACACAAACACCCACGGCCAGATGTCCATGGCAGCTTTATGTGAGACGACTTGAGAGCGAACACAGTCGGGAGATGAGAGGTTCAGCACTACGAGGACATCCAGACAATCGGTGTCACCCGGGCTGAAGGAGAGGCTCATGTGCACAGCATGAAGTCAGAGAGGCCAAGAGCCCCAAGAGGCCGTAGGTGGGATTCCAGCTCATGACTTCTGGGGAGCTGGGAGTGGGTACAGCAAAGCTGCAAGGGAGGCCAAGGGCTGGGTGGAAGGCAGGGGACCATGCTAGGGGGTGATGCATCAGTGCTGGGCCAAGTCCTTGTCCACACCGCTGTGGCTGGGGGCCCTGATGTGCACCTGTTGGGGGGACCTCGACAGTGTAGGAGCATCGTGCATGGGGACAGGGCTATGTCCCTTAAGCCCTACTTTCTGCTTCATTTTGCACCGAACACAAATATGCTCTAAAAATAAAACGTATTGCTTAAAGGAAAAACAACAGAAACAATAAATTATATTGTAAATTTCAATGATCTCTGTGCCAGGTGTCATTTAACAGAGGCTGTACTGGGCACTCCCTGCCCGTGGGTCTCTGATGAAAAGGCAGGGGCAGACATGATACTCCTGCCTGCATTTGGGGTCAGGATTCAGGACGTAATGTACGGCTGTCCCTGAGTCCAGCGTGAGACCACAGAGCATTCCAAATCCCACACCCTCCATGATTCCCATCCTCATGAACCTAGGGTCCAGCTTCATTTACAACCTGTCACTGCAGGAGGTCAACACCAGAAGACAAGAGGATAGGGCCACTACGACCACATGGTGCATGGACAGTGACAGCTTCTGTCCCTCTCCTGTGTCTCCTTCTGCCCTGGGCTCACCTCCCAGGATGCTTTGTGGTGGGACAGGAGGGGGACGCGGGCATTGTTCCTGGCAGTACCAGGTTCCTATGTGAGGCCTGTCTGCACACAGAGCTGCTGTGCCACCAGACAGTTACCCGGTGACTCAGCGTGTGGACTGCCTGGGTCCGCTGGGCAAGGGGATGGTTGGGACAGAGCAGGATGAGGAGAGATTTCATCACACTACTCAGAACATTCCCCTTTAACATCTTCAGTCAATGAGATGCTCTGAAGTCACAAAAGCCACAGAGAGCAGGGCTGCTGATAAGGGATGGGGCTCCAGGCTCCTGAGCTTGCAGCCAGAGTCCTGTGGGAGGCAGCCAACCAGTGTCCGTGACTTCTGGTGTCCCCAGGGGAAGGTGCTGCCACCCCTGGCTATGCTGGTTCCTAACCTATCTGGAGAGCACACGCTGTGACCTGCCCACACGCCCCAGGGCTCAGCCATCTGTATGGCGATTTCCTTTCCTAAGAGGTCTTCACAGTTGAGAAATCTGACCCATCAAAGGGGCACTGGTCTGTGTGTTCTGGGATGAAAAAGATTTTCACAAAAGTTCTTTCGCATCTGTACTGTCCACCTGTGCAAATATATTCTGACAATCCCATCAGACTCTGTATTGCCTTAAGTATTGATCCCTTTTTCTCTGGTCCTCCTGACCTCAAGAGAGGAATGTAGTTTTGACTGTCCCGCTGTCTCTAGAACTTAGGCAGTGCTAGCCACACTCTGATTAAGAGCAACACAATCCTGGCAGTATGAGCTCTGGGAACAAATTTTAGGACCAAGCACGTCCATGGCTGGGGTTGCGTCTTCTCCCTGTATGCATGTTGCCAAATCTTTCAAAGACTTCAAATTATATCCACAAGTGATCATTAAAAGCAATATGCATTCTGTAGCTTAGATTCAAGCATTTTATGATCAATTCCATGTCCATTTACCTTATGTGGAAGATCAGATGGCGTTTGACACTGTTTATTTGCAGCATAGACTGTTTTCAGTAATGGTCTGTACAGGGTAATCAACTTTGTCTGTCAGGGAAAGCACATTGTATTGTAGAAATCAGAGAGGGAAAACAAGAAAGCAGCACTGGCTTCCAGCCCTTCGTAGCTATTTGACCCCCAGCAAGGTAACATTTATTAGCCTCAGTGACCCTATCCATAAAGAATAACAATCTTTCTCTAATTTCCAACACTCTGAGGAGGGAAGGATATATCAATAAAAACTCAAGAACAGTAAAGGTGTTGTGGTCACAGGAGCAGAAAATCACCCATGTTGCCTATTGATCTAGTCAGTTCCTTTTCCTCCGGGCTCCACCTCTCCACGGTGCCCAGTCACCGCTTTTGCCAGGGACCGGGGCAGAGGCAGCTCCTCCAGGTGAGGCCAGTCAGTGGGCTGCACCCCACAGCTGGAATGGTGTGGGAGCCACTGGAAAGTCTGCATCCAACAGACAGGGACTGGGGTGAGGGGCCGGTGGCCAGGACAGCTGCCCGGGGACATCACCCACAGCCCATGAGTCAGAAACACACCGCCCACGGGCCGCGGGTGTCAGGGCCACTGCACAGCAGCCGGCCCGGCCTCACAGTATGAGCAGCACCAGTTCTCCAGACACAGAACCACGACGTGCCCTGCTTCTCTTTGCCAAGAAAGAGCCAAGCTGTGTCTCATTTTCACGTCAGACCGAGATTTAGCATGAGCGTCACACTGACAAAAGACATTCCCAGCGAACACTGTAAATTTGGATTCTGCAAAGGGCTGGGCAACAAAGTTACCTTTGCCATTTGTCAGCCTCTTTCCATTTGTGAGCTTTTGTCCCACATGCGGAAGCCGAGGATGCCACTCTGTTTATGATCCGAACTCTTGCTTGGTAAATTCAATCCTTGCTTGCTCTTCTGACATTCAATTCTTCAAAACTGAGGGGTGATTTGAGGGTCCAACAGCTGTGGTTGTTTGGCCAGTGAGTTGTGAGAGTAGATTCAGGTTGGCCTGGTGTTTCGTCCACAGGTCAAGTTGATTGAGTGCTCCAGTGTTCATAGTTGAAAACGCGTTTTGGAGCAAACCGTATTTGTGGAGTGGTCTGGACACCCAATGTTTGTGTGTGTGTGTGTACATGGACATTCCTGGAGGCCACCCCTGGCTTTCATTCCAGGCCACGGGAGAGCAAGAAAATGACGGTGCCTGTGGAAAAATTCCAATGATCAGCAGTCAGCTGTAACAAAGGGAATCGTGCAGGAAACATGTTTAAAAAAACCTAGGGTGAAATGTATAATCTGTGTCTCTGTACGTGTATAAAAATAAGGTTTGTAAAAAAATTTCAAGCGTGACTTTGAGAAGAAATGGAAAAGCTTATACCAGAAATCACCTAGTTTGAACAAGTGCTGTGTTATTCATGGGCGCCCATGCCGGCAGTGTGACAGTGCTGATACTAGGGCAGGAGGGTGCATGGACACGATGAATGTCTAATTTTCCTCTCGCCCGAATGGTGAGCATCAAGAAACTGGATCCGCACTGAGCCATGGTGGCTGTAGAGGTGAACCTGAGCCACGTTATACCAATAATTGCTAGCCCCCCAGGATTCTAGCTCAGAAATTTTTGTATGTTCTCAGGAGACAAAAATGAGTGATCATCAAAGGCTGCAGAACTCAGCAGGACTGTCATGAGCCTGAAGTTACAACTTAGACATGCAATAGAAAATATCATGGGTACCTCTCCAGTGTATCGCCTGTAGTAATTAAAAACTTGAACCCTGCTGTTTTATCATCTCATTAGCGGCGGGGGCACCAGACTTTAATCCTTGTTTGTCAGGAATCAAACATACCAGAGGAACTCTGATTATAAATTGATGAAAGTAAAGTTAAACTTTTAAATAAGAGAAGTGACTGTTCACTATGTTTTTTTAAAAGCTGATTAAAGACATCTGTGTTCTTTGTCTATAAAAGTCATATCTGTGTCCAGCCCAGAATGTGGAGGTCAGGTCCAGGATCGCAGCACACCATGTAGACTGCAAAGGGCTTGCTTTGTTCTGGGGTAAAATAAATATCAGCCCTGAATGACTCCCTGAAAGCACAGGTACAAAGCGCATCGTCCTCTCCTGGGATTGCGGTGGAGCTGAAACACCTTCCACCCCTTTCAGGTGGTGCCTTGTGCTGGCTTTTATCAGGGCACCGCTGGCCTCATGAGCAAAGCCTGGCCAGTTTTCTGCTGTTCAATAGCTCACCTTAGCGGAGGACAGGTGAAGGAGCAGGGCCTCATCTGCAGCTAATCTCTCCAGCGTTTGTTTCTAAAACACACAAATTTCCTTTGGAAAAGGAAATCCAACTTCTTGGATCCAAAGAATGTCAGCACTATGCCAGATTCACTATGCCAGTCCGTGCCATGGAGCCACTGGGCAGCTCTGTAAGGGAGGACAGGGACGATGGCTACCATGTGCCTCGTTTTCCTCCCTGTCCCTTGGGCTTGCTAATCACCAGGGACAGGCTCAGTGCCTGCTGTGAGCTTCCTCAGCGGCATCTGCTCCCACAGCAAGAGCGCTGGCTCCTCTGGCTGGAAGCTCTCGAGCTTTCTTCGGCTACCACACTGAGGAAGCCTGCGCCTGGCTTGCCTGAGGACTGGTTATCAGGATACCTGGAAGCAAAAGCACAAACAAAATCCTAGCTATCCTCGACCCCAGCACTGCTAACATCTGGGGACAGATAGTGCTTTGTGGTGAGGGTGTCCTATGTCTCAGCCTGCTGGGTGCCTTCCCTGGCACCCCAGTTGTGGCCACCAAAAATATGTGCTGATGCTGCCAGCTGCCACCAGGAGCCAAAGCTGTCCCCGGCCAAGGATGACTGGAATGGTGTGCATGTAACGTGTCACCATGTGTCTCTCACACACACGCACACACACACACACACACACACACACACAGTGAACCTGCAGACCAGCCTGGAAAGGGACATAAACTCTGACTTGATAAAAAGTAGCTTCCTGTCCTCGGGAAGGAGAGGAGCAGGAGCAGGCTGGTCACTTCCTGCTCCCAATCCCTCCTGCCCAGTGTGTGTCACCTGTTCCTGGCCAACTCTCAAAGGGATGAATGAATCCTTTGAGCCCAGAGCTTTCCCTGAGATAAATAAAAAGAGAACAAGTGAATTAATAAGTAAAGCAGCTACAAGCATGGAGAAGTCAAGCCACGGTTGGGAGGCATTTGCAGGTTCTGTACTTCTGAACAAATGGACTGATGACCTGAGCCCCGGGACAGCAGTCACCTGGAGGACTCCAGGGGAAGCACAGCGTGTCACACAGGGAGACTTAGTGGGCACCACTGGTGGCCTCCCAGGGGTTGCACCTGCTTTCCTGTCTAGCAAGTGAAGGTCCCCTGTGAAGCATGGGCCCAGCCTACAGAGTGGAGGGTGTGGAAGGGCTGGGTTGCCCTCCTCCTAGGTGGCCTTAGGTCTCTAGCATCCACTCTCAGGAAAGGCCAGGCATCCAGGGCTTTCCTGTAATGAGTTCCCTGCATATGGGCCTAACGTTGTGACTACAAATCCACCATTGCACTAAAGTCTAT